AAAGCGTCTTAGTATATATGAAAAATATTCATTATAAGAGACTATTCCGAGACTGAAACATTTTTTAGAAATATATTCATCCGATTTAATTTTGTCAATAATTACTGTAGGATATGTGACATTTTATCAGTCATGTACCGTTAAAACGAATTATTTTGGGATAATTCTACTAAAATATACAAGGTCATTGTAAATTTTGACGCCGATAAAGTTTGTTTTCAAATACACTTCACTTGTTATTCATTGTCTTATCTTTAACAGTTCTCGTTCAAATTTTTCCATAAATTGATGAACGAGCAAAGGGAGTAGACTAAAGTCAGCTGGACATCTTTTTAGATTCAGTGTATTAAGACGAAATAAATCCTAGGGATTTGGTAATAAAAGAGGGATGAGTTGTTTTGTAACTAAATGATTATATATGGCATTTTAGTAGAGCCCTTTATTTTGTCGTCATTTAAATCGAACGATGTTTGTTGACGGGTTCTCCACTTTAGTGGCCCGGGATCTGAATCCAAGTAGATCGCATGAATGACATTGAAATATATATGTCGCCTGTCCTCGTATATAATCATCGACTTAAATCGCGCAGGTCAATAACGGAATTAAATAAGTCAAATTACGAGAATGGAGTTTTGAATGCATATATTTTGTATATGAAGCGAATGGAATAGAGCAAAGCAAAGCGAAGCGAAACGGAACGACGCGCAGTGAAGATGGCGGGTAAGTCAACTCCCTTTAGTCAAGAGTTATTCAATATTTATAGTCACACAAAATTAAGTTACAGGCATGTGATGAATAGGTTAATAAATGTGCACACACATATGCGCTCATATAAAAACAGTCAATGTTGATAAGCGAATAATTAACAAGGTCAAAATGTGACTCAAGTAGAAATGAATAGATTAGCCTGTCCGAAAGCTAGAATAAGGTATATTGGCTTAACACAATAACCGACACTACAGCATCTTATAATATAAACAACATTTTGAAGCACAACATTTTTTTTCAGAAAACGTAAATCTGCAAATAATTCACAGGTTTAGTTATTTAAAACCTATATGCCTCGATAACTATGGACCAAAATGTATTTAGATAGGCTTTCGGATTGTTTAACTCGATGTTCCTAAGCCTAAGAAAAAACTGTTATGATTGGTGATGGGATATAATGATTAGTCTTTATATATCAAGCTTCATTCCGTAATGAATTTTGCACGGTTTACAAACCATTCTTCTTACTTTCAAAGAGCTACATCAAATAATCACAGATGCCTTTTTTTGCTGTGATTTTCAACCATTTAAGTTATAATTTTAAAACAATTTTTAGAGACATGCTTTATCGATGTAGTTAACAGATACCAGAACTTTGACATTAGCCTTAAAATGTAAATCTTTCATGAACATCTAAGAGAAGAATGACTTTTATCAAATTCAAAGGTAATTGATATTTCACTATCTTTACATAAATTTTATTTCGTTAATATTGTTTTATTATTACTATTATTATACATTAAGCATATTAGTGTGAATCATAAATTAAATGCATATGTTGAACTTGTTAAAAGAACAAACCAAGACATGTACATATTCATTTCATAATACCATAATATGCTTAATCACTAAATAAGTCTAATTTATTAATTAAAAATCAAAAAATGGCTAAAATACCTTAAAAGAATAAGTGTAATTGTTTTCATACAATACTGATTTTATTAAGCAAAATTAATTGGATGGAATTCATCACTCTGCATCAACTTCATTGACTACGAAAAAGCATTCGATAGCACGGACAGGACAACACTATAGAAGCTTCTTTGATAGTACGGCGTGCCTCAGAAGATAGTCAATATCATTCAGAATTCCTGTGATGGATTTAACAGCAAAATTGTGCATGGAGGACAATTGACAGGCTCGTTCGAGGTAAAGACCGGTGTCAGGCAAGGTTGCTTACTCTCACCCTTCCTCTTTCTCCTGGTGACCGACTGGATCATGAAGACGTCAACATCTGAGGGGGAGCATGGGATACAGTGGACATCTAGGATGCAGCTGGAAGATCTAGACTTCGCAGATGATCTGACCCACCTATAGAAATCTCAACAACAAATGCAGGAGAAGACGACCAGTGTAGCAGCAGCCTCAACAGCAGTAGGTCTCAACATACACAAAGGGAAAAGCAAGATTCTCCGATACAACACAGAATGCACCAATCCAATCACAACTGACGGAGAAGATTTGGAGGATGTAAAAACCTTTACATATTTGGGCAGAATCATTGATGAACACGGTGGTGGATCTGATGCAAATGTAAAGGCGAGGATCGGCAAAGCAAGAGCAGCATATTTACAACTGAGAAACATCTGGAACTCAAAGCAACTGTCAACCAACACTAAGTTCAGGATTTTCAATACAAATGTCAGGACAGTTCTGCTGTATGGGGCATAAACCTGAAGAACTACGAAAGTCATCATCCAGAAGATACAAGTGTTTATTAACAGTTGTCTACTCAAAATACTTCGGATTCGTTGACCAGACACTATTAGCAACAATGTACTGTGGGAGAGAACAAACCAGATCCCAGTGGAGGGAGAAATCAGGAAGAAGCGCAGGAAGTGGATAAGACACACATTGAGGAAAGCACCCAACTGCGTCACAACACAAGCCCTTACTTGGAATCCTCAAGGCCAAAGGAGGAGAGGAAGACCAATGAACACATTACGTCGAGAAATAGAGACAGACATGAGAAAAATGAACAAGAATTGGATGAAACTAGAAAAGAAGGCCCAGGACAGAGTGGGTTGGAGAATGCTGGTCGACGGCCTATGCTTCATTAGGAGTAACAGGCATAAGTAAATAAGTATAATTACTATTAAATAATATATATAACAAGAACGGATAGAAAGAAAGACACACTTTCAAGATTGACAGATAAATCTGAAGAAAATCATTGATAACTATTACATTAACTGTAATAAAATTCAAACAAAATAAAAAAAGACCATAATAAAACATAACTGAAAAAACGAATAATAACAGTCAGCAAAAAACAAACTAACAAAGACAGTTTCATTAAACGATTGGCAACAACAACAAAAAAGTTTGAAAAATAAAGGGAAGCAATGACGTCATTTTCTGTTCTATTTTAATCACTAAATTGTTGAATAAAAAAAATTTTTTTTCTTCAGACATTCCACAATTAAGAAGAAAAAAAATTATTCACATTGAAAGTCATAAAAATTTAGATGTTTATTAAGAGATGTACAGCAAAAAAAGGGAAAAAACCCATCAGAAAGGGAAGAAAAAAATATACGACATAATACGTAAAGGGATAATTCAATGGAATTTCATTGTTTCCTAGAAATTTAAAATGATTATCACGGATGAATAAATCTGTAAATTAACTTGTTAAATAATAAACTAAACATAAAATAATCTAAATTCAAAATTTCGAACTAATTTTATTTTTTCGGTTTTTTTTCAGTGTGTTAGTAACCAAACTCTCTGTAGTTTCAAAGAAAGGAATCACAAACAAAAAACGGAATTGAATCTTCTTTAAAATCTATCAAGATATTATGTATTATGTCATTTTATTACATAACTTCTAATTAAATCTACTGAAATTGTTAAAGAATTAATAAATATTCTTCAGTATTAATTATGATAATGTTACAAAGTCAAGTAATAATAAAAATAGACTGGTAAGAAGACAAATTTTATAATGTCTCTATACTGGAAAAATGAGAATACTTTTAGGACTTATTAGGGGAGTGTATGATAATAATGTAGTGTATGCTACTTATATTGACATAAGTAGTAGATGATGTTAATGATGAACAGAATGTCTGGCAACAGAGAGACAAGAGGATCGAACAGTAAAGAATGGAAACAGAATGCAATTTGTATGAACATGCAAGAACAATGAAGTCTGAATCATGATGAGACAATTAATGGACATTTTGCAAATTACGTATTTACTATTTGATTGTTAGATTTTATTAAGGAGTCCTGTAATTTTGTGTCAAATACATTCGATTTTCTCCACCCGTGTCCCTGTTCACTACAATAATATTTACAAAGGTTTTTCTTGGAAAGCAGATTACATTTTCGTACAATTTTTTTAGTAGTTCAATTGTTATAAGCTAAATTCTATTATATATCAGAAGGGTGTTGTGTGAATATCATAGTAATTTTAATAGTTGTTAGATGTCGGTTCAGTGGTTTAGTGGTTAAGCGCTCGCGCGGGACTGATAGGTCCTGTGTTTGAATCTTGCGAGGGGGGATTGTGGATGCATACTGCTGATTAGTCCTACAATAGGACGAGGCTGCCGTCCAATGCTTCCAGGTTTTTCATGGTGGTCTAGCTTTAATTGAATCATGATCTATTATATGAGTTTACATTAATTCAAAAATTTTTTTAAATTTCATTATTTATTGTTCACTAAAACACTAAAATTATGCGTTACTTTTGTACTGGATGCTTGAAATGAACCTATTATTATGTAACTAATTCGTTCACCAACTTTTATCTCCTAATTTAACGACTATTAGTTATCATCCTTCGATTTACAATAAAAGTAAAAGTTTTCCAAATTAAATATTCATTTCATCTACTTAAAAGTAATGTTTTATACAAAGTTATTTTATGTTAACACTTTGCTTAATATTATTGTTAAATTAGATTTCCATTTCTTGTTTTTCTGTTTAAGTGAAATTTGATTACCCATTATAAGTAAGTAAATGAATTAATCCCTCTTTTATAGACATTGATTACTTATTTAAGTATTATAATTGATAATAATAGTTCACGTTCATTAAAGTAAGAAATAACCAACAAAAATATATTTCAAAGATAAACAAATTCAAAGTAAATCAGAAAATAATAAAAGTAAATATTAGTTTATAAAATCCCATTGCTCGATTCTGATTGGTCATTAACATATTAACCAATGACGTTAAAGATCTAATGTTTTCGTTGTTAAAAGTTTTGTCATTTTTAAATGAATCATTATAAATCTAATTATCAGAATTATTATATATTATAATGTTATTTTTTCTTAATAAAACCTAATTCAATTCAGTGTATTGACAATATATTATACTTAAAATGATATAATAGTTTGAGATTATCGTCGTATTCTATATTGGTTAAAACAAGTAAGTACATGGTACTATGTAAATTGATTAAATGTTGATATTTATGAAAGACACTGATTAATTTCCATTCATGAATTCAATTATATAGATTCAATTAATTCCATTGTTTTATTCAAATTAGGTTTTTATGACAGACTTAATACAAGGAAATGTATGTGTTTACATTTTAAACGAGCAAAATAAAGTCAATAGCTTCTTATTACATTTTGTATAATTGTTAAGTCATTTTAAATTTTTGGATCAGTGACTGACTAAGTAACAGTAATTGTCTTTATGTCCAATAAAAGGTTTCCTCAATATTACATATAATATATTGGAATAATACGCCCATAGTGAACAAAAACCTAATTATTTCTTTACAAATGATTTTGTTATAGTATGGAAGTATTTATCATACCTACTCATGTAAAGCTTTTGAAAGCGTTTGCTTGACAACGAAATGTTTACATGCTAACGAAAGGGAAACATTAAAATGTCAGAAAAAACTTATCGATCACATGGTTAAGTCTTGAGCACTTATCTAAAGTTTTGTTTCATTAAAAATCAATCGATTATATATAACAATAATCATTTGCTATTTTGATATTTATAAAAATAAAGATCCGTGCTAGATTCAAATGGTGATATTTTATATTGTCTTTAGAATTTTCACGTAGTATTTGCAGTTAGAACGTTAACTGTTAAGTTAAAGTTAGTTTCCTTCGCACTATTTAAACTAATGTTAATTTAATTTCGGTTATTAATTTATTCAGAAGAAGTGGCTTAAATTAAGTGACGAAATGTCACAATTTTTCGACTCAATGATATATAGCAAAACATATTTATTATTAACGCTCTACCCAATGCTCAGTGTATTTGAAACTATCAAGTTCAACCTTGTTATTGATACCTATAGCCCCCGAATGCCCTGTTATGGCCGAGAGTGGGGTGGGCCCTCCCTCACTCTCGAAATGTTCTCACATAGCCACTCGTATACAGCCTCTGCCAGGGAAGTCCTACTCACTGCCTTCTAGCACCACGAGTGTTGTTTACGAAAATGAGAGGACGGAAAGCGAAAGCGAATTTCCGGCGCTCTAACCGGATTCCAAATCAATGGTGCACATGAACTCCATTATCCTGTGGGAACAATAGGCGTATGAACCAATTGTTGGTCACCGGCTACCATGGAACTGCATCTCCTCACGATGCTCCACTGCCTTGTGGATCAGGCCCTCAGGTCAAAGGCTCGGGGTGTGGCCCTCTAAGACAACTACCTGCTTTGGTTTGGGCACCCGGGCCGTATCACAGCCCTCACACACAAATATGGTGTGGCGCATGTATATTTGGTGCCCTCTTGTACCAATATTTATGTGTTGAAATAAATAAATAAATTGCTACCTATAAAAATTCAGTTTAGTTAATGAACTTTACAAAATCACAACAACAAATAATGCATTGCAAACTAGAATGGAATATTTTGTTGTAATTTTATGTGTAACTAATTCAAATAGCATTCAAGTACAAACAACCTTAATCAGTTCACAATCAAAACTAACTTGTTCCAAATTTATAACTTTACAATATAACTTACTGTTACAAATAATAGTTAGTCAATGTTTTGCTTTTGGAGTTTACAAAAAACCCAACTGTTACCATAAATCCATTTCGATACTGATAATATCTATATTGTATTTATTTCATCAAACAAATTGAGTTAGTATATCGTAAAACGTTCTCGACTTATTGGGAGTGGATTTATTTGAATAATATGATAAATTACTGTTAGTTAAGTGGTATATCTACTACAGTAATTGAATCTTGTTAAATGGATAGATCTTGTTGAATGCTGCGATTTCTAATAATGATCTTGTTGAAAACTTTTATTTGATATCTCATCATGTATTCTCTCATTTATGACATCTGTTCACAACATTGGTATATCCAAAAACCTTTCTTTGTAAGCAAATGTAATCTACGCTTTGAACATCTACATGTTCTTTTCGTTTGTTTGTATATAACTAAGATATTTTTAACTTCAAAGGCTCGTCAATGTTTGATTTTTTGAAGCGCTTAACAGAACACGGATTTTCACTAAGCATCTATAACTTTTCAACGCTTTACAATTCTTCAAGAGCATGTTAACCGCATGTAATATCGAGAAAAATTTGAAACCTCTGATCAGTTAGTAGAAATTCATGAATATTATTGTTTACAGCTTAACTGTGATCACTGGAGATCAATATGGGATTAGTTAACAAACACCAGCTACTTTTTCGGAAGTAGTATCTAATGATTCCATTTTGAATTCCTGGACGAATATTAGTTATTACATAAAGGTTACTCTCACTCATTGAATGTAAACAACAAAACGACTTCATTGATATTAGTGACTAAGTAATGATCATCCTATATTGTTTGATATCGTTCCAATTTTAAAGTATCCTTGATAACTACGGTGCAAATGGGTATAATAAGTGTTATCTTAAAATGAAAAATAATAAAAAAACTATCAGTGACTGATTGCTGAATATGTTAACTCCTATTTATCTGAACTCACACTGATAATAAGTTGAATTTTGTTTTGTGAATATATTATTATGTTACAGCATAACCCTTGGAAAAATCGTAAAAGTCATCCTTAATGTCCATTTATTTACAACAGATTGTATAGTATAAATGTATATGATATCTCTAAAATGTCTATGAATTTTCATTATACATTTCATCCTTAGTAACATTGATTTAATAAAGATGAAAAAAAATGATATGACCATTTCACAACAGTTTCATAATAGTAATATATGTAAGTAGTACACTTTGATCAGTAAATTTGAACTAATGAAGTTGTATTTTTGTTAATTTATTGTAACATTCCGTGTTGAACATTATTAATTATAAAATGTACTGAATTATGGATATTGTCTGAAAAGTATTTGACTCATTACAGTTATATCTACTGTTTACATTTCTTATTCTAATTTAATTATAGTTTAAAGAGTAAATACATGTATATTTTTTCCTTGACTAAAGTTCATATGGTTCATATAGATTTTGTCTTGTACACTTTTAAATTATTACAACCACATTACATAATAATGATTATAATTATTTCGATAGTTGAGATCATTAGTCGATTGAAGCTAGACCACCATGGAAAACCAGGAAGCACTGGACGGCCGTTTCGTCCTATTGTGGGACTCCTCAGCAAAACCTCTTCTGATTATAATTATGTATGGTGGAATCATTCATTTATTAGCATTATCGAATCACAATATATAGTAACTTAAAATTTAATAATTCAGTGAAGTAGACACTAAGCTGATTGATGCATTTACAGTTAACAAATTGTCATATTTTAACAGCAAATTTAAACTGAACTTGTAAATAGAGAAGAATATTATTCGAAAATCATAATGTAATATTACTGAGCCAATGGACAAGTGACTCGGTAAATCCATAGTTTATGTAGATGATTTAACATCCAGTGTTAAAAGACATAGAATATCAAATACTTGTAACTGCTTAAACTACTTATTTTGTCTAGTTCTTTTTCTCTATATACCTTCTGATTAGAAGATATATGCGAGTTAGTCGTAACATTGATTTCAGTATCCTATAATTGTAAGATACTTTATGAGTTATGATGTTCACTTTCTAGATTTATGGTGCTCATTGTACGACATTTCACATTGTTTTGTGAACTATAAGCGTTAGACAAGTACTGTAGTCAATTTTAAATGATGCACTCGAAATAATTTGTTAAGATTAATGTATACAAGAGTGATAGTTTTAGTATATTCACTACAATTTTTGTCATTTTCAAGAAATTCAACAGTTTGACTAGGGTAAGTATAATTGAACATCTAAAACACTAAAGAGAATTAAATAGAGAAAGCTGCCTTTGTAAAGTTTTGAATTGTAAACAAATTCAATCAACATTTAATTTTATATAATTTATTAGCTTGAAGGTACATTGTTAAATATAATCAACAATTTAGAACTATTGAACACTAAACAATAAATTGAAGAAAAACATTACTTGAATGAGACTACTGTCTTTTAACACACAACTAATATGATGGAAAGAAAAGTCAATTTTCGATTGATTTACTCATTATGAGTTTTGTTCAAGATCACTTCCGTTTTGATTCAATGTAATGATTACTGAATGTAGTATTTGTTTTTCTTTTCTCGTATGATATTTTCTTCTGTATAATATGCGATATTCTTGTATCCCAGTGACATGAACTATGCTCAGTCTGTGATTTGTTATAACTCTAAGTAGTTTTCATATATGTGATTTCATCCTAATTATTAATCAAAAATGGGTGTGCAGTCAATATATAAATGAGTGTATTTTCTACTAGAGTTGTCGTCGTCGTCGTGTTTTGGGGTTAATAAATCATCCCTTATACCAGTCTTTGTGTTCTTACTTTCGCGTCGTGGGAATTGCAGAGGTCTCTCGTTCCGAGTATAAGTAATAGGCGTTTCTAACATAACAAGCAGTGACGACTAGATACAAAAAGTAGCATTAAAAGAGCCAACACAAATAAGCATTCAAACGACAAATTATAACAACAACCATTATTATACTCGTCATCTTTTTAAAATATTATTAGAATAATAAAAGATCTTGACAACAATTCATTCAATCTATATTCTTATGTGGATGAATTAAAAATGATGTTACTTTAGAAATAATAAGTAACCTTTCAATTTTTGGTAAAAATTATAAAACCATAATTTGATTAACTTACCGCGATATATCAAAATAATAAATTTCTTATATCAGTAAGAACAAATGAATTGGTATATATTATTATAAACACTGATTTTGGTACAAATCAATTACTGTGTAATATTATCTTTATTAGGTAGAACTGACAGGTTTCTTTCAATTTTACTTACTGAATAAGTCTATTTCCTGTTTATTCATTGAATATAAAGATGATTATGAATATGACAATAGTATGGCTATCTCAAAGAACTAATCCATTAAAAAATATTTTAAAAAAAAGATA